TTACCTTTGTGGGGCAGCCCTTGCTCACCTTCCGGGGGAGTGAGGGTGGGGTGTGGACTTTCATCTCAGGCCTCTTCACTGCCACCCAGGGAACCCGCAACTTCCCGAGGTGTGAAGGTCTAAGGCACTGCACCCTGCCCTGCCCACACGACAGGCATGTGTAACCCCGTGTTTTCTTGTAGGCTCAGGGAGCGGTCTTCCTGCTGAGGCTGTAACTGGGGGGTGTGCCTCGGGCCATCTCTCCTGGCCACAAGGAGAGAGCCCGCAGCAGGAGAGAGTTTGGACCTCTCAAGGGAGGCAGGGCTGAGAAGCGGGGAGAGAAGTGGAGGTGGGAGGAGGAAGGAGAGAGCTCTCTAAGGATCTTTTCAGAGCTCCTGGATCCAGCCATACCTGAAGGCTATATATCAGCCGTGGGCAAACTATGGCCTGCAGGCCAGATCCGGCCCGTTTGAAATGAATAAAACTAAAAAAAAAAAAGACCGTACCCTTTTATGTAATGACTAGAGGCCCGGTGCACAAAAATTTGTGCACTCGGGGGGGGGGAGGGGGGGTCCCTCAGCCCGGCCTGTGCCCTCTCGCAGTCTGGGACCCCTTGGGAGATAACGACCTGCTGGCTTAGGCCTGCTCCCGGGTGGCAGAGGGCAGGCCCAATCCCTAGGTGCAGCCCCTGGTCGGGCTCAGAGCAGGGCCGATTGGGGAGTTGGGGCGCCGCCCCCTGTCATGCACAGAGCAGGGCGGATTGGGAGGTTGAGATGCCACCCTCAGTCACGCTCAGGGTAGGGCCGATTGGGGGGTTGGGGCACCGCCCCCTGTCACACTCAAGGCAGAGTCAATGGGGAGGTTGTGGCGCCACCCCTGTCACGCACAGAGCAGGGCCAATCAGGGGGTTGGGGAGCTCCCCCCCCCCCCCCCCGTCACGCACAGAGCAGGGCCCATCAGGGGGTTGAGGAGCTCCCCCCTGTCACTCAACAGAGTAGGGCCAATAGGGGAGTTGGCACACCGCCCCCTGTCACATGCAGAGCAGGGCGGATCAGGGGGTTGGGGCGCCTTCACCTGTCACGAACAAAGCAGGGCCGGTAGGGAGGTTGTGGCCCCGCCCCCTGTCACACACAGAGCATGGCTGATCAGGGGGTTTGGGTGCTGCCCCCTGTCACGCTGATCCCAGTGCCGGGAGGCATATTACCCTTTTACTATATAGGGTAGAGGCCTGGTGCACGGGTGGGTGCCGGCTGGTTTGCCCTGAAGGGTGTCCTGGATCAGGGTGGGGGTCCCCACTGGGGTGCCTGGCCAGCCTGGGTGAGGGGATGATGGCTGTTTGTAGCTGGTCACACACTCTTCAGGGTGGGGGTCCCCACTGGGGTGCCTGGCCAGTCTGGGTGAGGGGCTGAGGTCTGTTTTCAGGCTGGGGGTGACTGAAGCTCCCAACTGCTCCTTTTTTCCTTTTTCTTTTTCTTTTTTTATTCTGGGCCAGCTTTACCTTGAGGCTTGGCTCCAGCTCTTAGGCCTCCGCACTGAAAGTAGGTTTCTGGCCTTTGCTTACAATGTTGTGAATCTGCTGGCTGAAGTCTGGTGGTATTTGTTACAATGTTTCTTAAACTGCCCGCTCAGAGGCCTGCAGCTGCAGGAGGGGAACGTTGGTTTCCTCCTTCACTGAGGCAAGCAAGCCTCATGTTAGTTTCAAGCTGCCTGGCTGCCGGCCGCCATCTTGGCTGACAGTTAATTTGCATATCTCGCTGATTAGCCAACGAAAAGGGTAGCGGTCGTACGCCAATTACCATGTTTCTCTTTTATTAGTGTAGATGTTTACTTTGAATTTATATTAGTTCAGACAAACACTCCATCCATGCTTTTGTTCCGGGCCTCCGGTCCAGTTTAAGAACCCATTGTGGCCCTCGAGTCAAAAAGTGTGCCCACCCCTGCTATATACCCTTGCAATTCCCAGTTATATGAGGCAACAGAGTAACAGATTCCCTTTTTTTGGCTTAAGTCCCTGGCCTTGCAGGAGCACCTCACTGTCTCATGCTCCTGTGCAGGGGGGCGTTAGCTCCCCAGGGTTAGACTAGGTTAGGGGCACACTTTGACCTCCTTGGGAATGTGGCCCTGCAAGGTGACCTGGAGCTCCCGTTTACCATGTGAACAAAGGAAATACTTTAGAAATCCAGGGTTTCATTTTCAAACCCTGTCTGAGCAAACAGTCCAGGGCACGTTGGTGTGTAGAGGTGCCAGCTGCTGCTGTAGGACAGAGGGCACATCACAAGCAAGGAGGCGTGTGGAGCCTGTGTCCTGGGGTCCCCTTTGCTGAAGCCCCACTGGGGACAGGGGTGCCTGTGGCCTGGACTATGCCCATGCTCATCAGCACACAGATGCTTGGATATGAGCCAGACTGATTGTGAAATGTCCACTCTGCAGGCTGAGAGTTCGCTGGGGAGTGGGGGAGCAGGGAGTGGAGGTGCAGGGAGTGGGGGAGCAGGGAGTGGAGGTGCAGGGTTGCCCCCTTCTTGGAAGAGTTGGCCCAGGTAGATGCCATCGCCTGCCAGGATGCTCCGACCATCCCCAGGTAGGTGGCTCTGCTTAGAGACCCTCAGGACTCCTTGAGGCAAAGGCACATCCCCTAGAGCTCCTCTGGCCCCCCCTGCCTAAGGAGGCTCAGGTAGGCCCATAGGCAGCCGCAGGCCTGAGGGGTGGTGCAGCGATGGGTCAGGAGTGCTGGGTGAGGTCCCTCATGGGGTCTCTGGCTTCCGATGCAGAAGCACAGGTGACGGCTTTAGGCTGGATCTGGCCCATGTCCCACCCGAGAACCTTCTGCAGGTCAATTCCAGCCTCTCTATAAAGGGGCCCCAGTACATGTTGCTGAAGGAGAGGGAGCCTAGACCCCAGCTCACTCACCCTGAGGACACCCTCGAACCCGCCCCCCTTCCCATCTGTACCAGCTGCCACTCCTGGTTCTGAGGTCTGCCCCTGGGGGGTGGCAGCCACCTGCTGTCTGCTCACAGCTGCCACGCAGGCCTCCCACAAGCACCCACAGTCTTGCTGCCGCCCACCTGGCACCTGCAGAGCGCCTGCATCTGCTACTGCCACCTCCCAAGTGACATCTGCCACCAACAGCTTTAGTCGGAAGTTCTGGAGTCCACTCTTCCCAAACTGGTCCCACTCACACTCTTCCCTCTCCTCAGCCACAAGAGGCAGTGAAGAGTGGCTGGGGTCTGGCGAAGGGGAGGGGACCCTTAACCTTGGGACTACACCCTAATAAGTGCGGTGTCCTGTAGACAGACCTCTGGACCTGGGTCTGGCGCCACTTCTTTTTAAGGACCCTGCATTAGTCAGGTTTCTCCAAGAAAATGGAACCAATAGGAGACCGATTAGATATATAATAGATTTAACGATTGCTGGGGCTGAGTCTGAACTCTGCAGCCAGGCCAGAGGCTGGAGGCCCAGGAGGCGTTAATGCTGTTGTTTCCCTCCTAGAGGCTGTCTGGGGGCTGAACTCATTCCTCTCTGGGGATCTCCGTCTTCGCTTTAGGGCCTCAACAGCTTGGACGAGGCCCACCCACATGGTGGAGAAGACTGCTGTTCTTAAAGTTTACTGATTTACATGTTAATCACATGTGAAAAACACACAAAAACATCAAAAAAGCCTTCACAGCAACATCTAGACTGATGTTTGACCAGCCCCCTGGGCACCATGGCCTAGCCAGGTGGACCCCCTTACCCCCCCACCCCCGCTCATGCATGGGAACATTTTGTTAAGGTGGTTTGTTTTAAGATAAGTTATTTTTATTTTGTGAGTCATTTTACATGTACAAATAAAAGATTAGAGTTCACCAGTATTTTCAAATCAGCATCAAGCCCCAGTCGCCTGCGCAGCACACAGCAGAGAGGCCCTGACAGGACTGAGCTGAGTGCCTTAAAAAGGGGAAAGAATACTTTTTCCCTTTTCAGAGAACCTAGTTTGGATGTTCCCATCACAAAAGCTGTGCTGTGGCGACACCTTGTGGTGACGTTTGAATCTTGTTATCACTGTGGCCTCAAGCTGCTGAGGTGCAGTCCCTCCTGGCTCACTTCAGGCTAAGGCAGTCCACTAGGAGCCCCCCGCCCCCCAACCCGCTTCCAGCCTAAGGGTGTTTCATGCATCTGCCGACAAGGATCTCACTCAGAGACCCAGGACACCAGGAGAGTGGGCACGAGACCTTCCTCCCCCATGGAGCTGTCAGGAAGTGGGGCGGAGCTGCCACCCACCCTCCACTTCCTCTGCAAAAGGCAGTGAGGGCGGCCTTAGCAGCGCTTCCTGGCTGACATGGGAGCGGGGGAGGACCCCCCCCCCCCCCCCAGGCCCCGTTTGTCTAGCTCCACTCCACCAGCTGGAGGAGCCCCCATCTGCAGCCCTGACTCAGCTTCCTGGTCACTGTCTGAGGTTTGGAAACGGAGCTGGAGGCTGCGAGCTGATAAAACACCGTGGTGACTGTAACTGCCAAGGCGGTCCTTGCCCACAGTGAAGCGACAGCACTGTGACAAATAAAACAAGTGGTGTCTTCAGCCAGGACAGGCGGGCAAAGGAAAAACTACTGTACAGACATGTCACTCATACGTACCTTCCCCACGTGGCTGTCCTTCATTTATCACGTCATATCGTGTGAGTCTGCTTCTTCTTCTAGCTTTTATTTTATCATTTCAAAGAAGTAATAGTCTAGCCCTGGCTGGGTTAATCAATGGTTAGAGTGTCGTGTCGGCCCACACATGGAAGGGGCTCAGTTCTGTTAGGGCACATTCAGTTGGTGTCTCTCTCACATTGATGCTTCTCTCTCTCTCTCCCTCTCCCACCCTCCCTTCTACTCTCTGAGAAAGCAATGAAAAAAAATCCTCAGGTGAAGATTAAAAAAGTAATAGTCTGTATTTTTGAGAGTAGTTTTAAGATTGCAGAAAAGTTGCAGTGATAGTAGTCCTATTATTAGCAGCTTGCATTAGTCTGGTACATTGCTATAATTCATGTGCCGAGATTGATACATTATTAACTAAAGCCTATCTTTTTTTTTTTATGGATCATGTTTGGTGTTGTATGTAAAATATCATTGCCATGCCCAAGGTCAGCTACATTCTCTTCTATGTTATTTTCTAGAACTTCCATGTGAACATTGTGAGATTTGTGTCTAGACTAGTTTTTGCACATGTGGATGTCCAGTTGTGCAAGTACCAATTGTTGAAGAGACTGTCCTTTCTCCATTGTGTTGTCTTTACCCCTTTGTCACTCATCAGTTAACTGTTTTTGTTGGGGTCTATTTCTGGGCTCTCTGTTCTGTTCTATTGATCTATGTGTCTGTGTTTTTCACCGATACCACACTGTCTTGATCACCATAATTTTACAGTAAGTCTTGAAGTTGGGTGTGTCAGTCTTCCAGCTTTGTTCTTCTTCAATGTTGTGTTGGCTACTGTGTTTTTTCCTCTCCACATTACTTTAGAATCATTCTGTTGATGTCCATAAAATAACTTGCTAGAATTTTGATTGGACTGCATTGAATCTACAGATCCAATTGGGAAGAACTGACATTTTAACTACATTGAGTCTTTCTATTCGTGGACATGGAATATCTGTGCATTTATTTAGATCTTTGATTTCTTTCATCAGAGTTTTGTAGTTTTTCTTATACAGATCTTGTACTTTGTTAGACTTATGCCTAAGTATTTCCTTTTTTGATGCTAATGTAAATGCTATTGTGTTTTTAACGTCAAATTCCAATTGTTCATTGCTGGCTTATGGTCATGCACCACATCGTTACGTTCTGTTCAATGATGGACCACATGTGCAGCGTGGTCCCATAGACTAAAATGGAACTGAAACTCACTGTCACCTAGTGATGTCGCAGCCTGTGACTTCAAAGGATTTGCCAAGGATGAGGAGGTCGCAAAAACCACCAGCCTGTGGTTGAGATGGCCGGCACCTCCAAGCTGGGTGGAGGAGGGTGGTGGCACGAGGAGCTCCGGGGACTGACGATTGAGGAGCTGTTGGACCTGGAACAGCAGGCAGAGCTGAAGAAGAGGCAAGAGAAAAGGAAACTGCAGGAGAAGAAAAAGAGGAACCACCAAGAAAACTCAGCGAAGGGCTTCGCAGAGCATTTGCAGACCTCAACCAGCTCCTTAACACACGGCCCACACTGAAAGGTTTCATTCACAGGGAGGAGTGCTCCTGTGCCTACAAGCAAGTCTATGATGGAAAAAAGAAACCAAGCCAACCACCATGGACAGATTTCTGAAGAGTGACCCTCAGGAAGAGCCCGGGGGTGCTCCAGCAGAAGGCGTGTTGGCACAGGAGAGGGCAGCTCACAGTGTTGTTGCCCCGAAGACCCAGAGGGGACAGGGCATGGAGTGGGGGCTGGTGATAGTGATGATCCTGACCCTGTGCAGGCCTCGGCTACTGTGTGTGTTTGTATATTAGTTTTTACCAAAAAAAGTTTAAAATGAAGAAATAAATTAAAAATTTTAAAATAGAATAATATAAAGAATATTTTTGTACAGCTATATAATGTGTTTGTTTTAAGCTAAGTGTTATTATAAAAGAGTTAAAGAGTTTCTGAAGTAAAAAAGTTAAAGCTAAGGTTACTTTACGACTTAAGAATTAAAAAAAATATGTTGACTGTAGCCTAAGTGCACAGCATTTATAAAGTGCCCAGGGGGATGCAGGCCTCACATCACCCCCACTCACCCCTGGCTCATCCAGAGCAACGTCTAGCCCGGCAAACTCCATTCCTGGCAAGGGCCCCGTACAGGTGCACCATTTTTATCTTTTATGCCATATTTTTACTGTGCCTCTTCTATGTTTAGGCACATAAATATTTACCATTGTGTTACGGTTGCCTGCCGGGGTCCAACCCCAGCAGGTCCAGGGGTCCCCAAAGGTGTAGACGGAGTCGGCGAAGAAGGAAGGACACGGAGACAGCGTTCAGTTGATCAGCAGCCTAGCCAGGATCTCCAGCCAGGATCTCCAGCCAAGTTCTGGTCTGGATCTCCAGCGAAGTTCTGCTGTTTATTGTCTTGTTACATCCATATTTATACCAGTTGATTTTAATCCTGTCAATTTCTATTACAAAGGTTAGGGCGTTTCTTATCTCCATTCCAGGGAGTAAAGATTATGTAGCTTAAGCATGATTGTTTGTAGTGATTAACTACCCGCCTGGCACTTAGTTAAGGAGTTTCATCCCCTCCCTGACTTCAGGGAAAAATTCCTACCTGGGGAAACAACCTTTCTAGGAGAGGCATCCCCTCCCTGACTTCAGGGAAAAATTCCTACCTGGGGAAACAACCTTTCTTGGAGAGGTGACCTTGGTTAAAACACACAGCGTTAAGGGGAGCAAACATATTAAGAACAGTATGCTATATACGCCAGGTCCCTTGAAACATATGCTGTGCAGATGTTTCTATCCTGCAGTGACTGTGTCAAGCAGCAAGGATGGACCGGCTTCCGGCAGTTGCCTAGAGCATTCATTATGGTAACATGCTGTACAGGTTGATTGGCTGCCTCCTACATACCCCTTACTGGGGATCAAGCCCACATCCCGGGCATGTGCCCTTGACCAGAATTGAACTCGGGACCCTTTAGTCCGCAGGCCAACACTCTATCTACTGAGCCAAACCAGCTAGGGCTCTGGGTTACTTTCAACGGATTGATTTTTCTCCTCATTATTAGTTGTATTTCCTCCTTCTTTGTATGTTTGACAATTTTAGATTGGATGGCAGACACTGAATTTTATCTTGTTGAGTGCTGAAAATTTTGTATTCTTATATTAAATACTAGAGCTCCAGTGCATGAAATTCATGCACTGAGCGGGATGGGGGAGTCCTGCGCCCTCTTGCAGTCCCGGAGCCCTTGGGGGATGTCTGTCAGCTTAGTCAGATATCCTTAGTGCTCCGCTGTGCTTGCCAGCCGTGAGCCTGGTTTCTGGCTGAGCTGCGCTCCCCTTGTGGGAGCACACTGACCATAGGGGGCAGCTCCTGCGTTGAGCGTCTGCCCCCTGGTGGTCAGTGTGCATCATAGCAGCCCATAGCTCTGCCGTTCAGTCGATTTGCATATTAACCTTTTATTATATAGGACTAGTGGCCCGGTGCATGAAATTCGTGCACGGGGGGTGGAGGTGGGGGTGGGACGGGGAAGGTGTCCCTCAGCCCGGCCTGCACCCTGTCCAATCTGGGACCCCTTGGGGGATGTCTGATGTCTAAACTGGTAGTCGGACATCCCTCTTGCAATCCGGGACTGCTGTATCCTAACCGCTCACCTGCCTGCCTGCCTGATCACCCCTAACCACTCTGCCTGCCAGCCTGATCACCCCCAACTGCCCCCCCCACCAGCCTGCTCGCCCCCAACTGCCCCTCCGTCGGCCTGTTTGCCCCCAACTGCACCCCCCTGCTGGCCTGCTCGCCCCCAACTGGCCCCCCCTGCTGGCCTGCTTGCCCCCAACTTCCCCCACCGCCAGCCTGATCACCTCCAACTGCCCTCCCCTCCTGGCCTGATTGCCCCTAGCCCCATTCCTGGGTCGCTGGGGCAACCCAGAATAACCAGGCCTTCTCACCTGCTCTCTGGCCGGGTCCGTGGCTCCAGCTGGCACTGCTATCTTTGTCGCGTCAATTTGAATATTCCCTTCTTATTGGCTGTGGGTGCCGCCATCTTTATTGTGAAGTGATGGTTAATTTGCATATTACTCTTTTATTAGATAGGATTGTTTAGCTTTGTTCTAGGACACAGTTACTAGGAACAGTTTGATCTCTCCAAAGCTTTCTTTGATTTGTTAGCTGGGGTCAGAAGCTAGTTACTCCCCACGGTTGCAGCAAGATCTTCTCTGTACTGGACACTAGGCTCCCAGTCTGCTGGTGGGTCAGGCACTGATCCCTACTTGGTGCAACTGTGGCCAGTGTTACTTCTACTCATGGGAACCTGCAGATCTCTGAAACCTTCCTTAGGACCAGCCTGATTTGGGACTGCTAGCTGCCTTGGTCTCCCTGCATTCTCAGTTTTATTTCCTCAACTCCAGGCCCTGCTTGGACTCCCCTCTGCGTTGTGGCCTGGAAACTGTGACAGCAGTAGGAAGAGGTGATTGTTAGGTTCGGTCCACTGGCTTCTGACCTCTCAGGAGTCACTGAGCTATTGCATAACTCGCAGCACCCTAAAAACTGCCGGTTCAGCCCTAACCGGTTTGGCTCAGTGGATGGAGCGTCAGCCTGTGGACACAAGGGTCCCGGGTTCGATTCCGGTCAAGGGCATGTACCTTGGTTGCGGGCACATACCCAGTAGGGGGTGTGCAGGAGGCAGCTGATCGATGTTTCTCTCTCATCGATGTTTCTGACTCTCTATCCCTCTCCCTTCCTCTCTGTAAAAAATCAGTAAAATATATTTTAAACAACAACAACAACAACAAAACCTGCCGGTTCACATATTGTGTCCATTTCTTGGTTGTCTCAGGCATCTTGGTCAGAGTTTTAGTTGCAGATGATAAAGTTCTGGAGATGACGGTGGTGATGGCTACACAACAATGTGAAATCACCTAATGCCACCGAACTGTACACTTATTAATGGTTAAAATGGTAAATTTCTGTTTTCTACATATTTTCACAATTAAAAAACAACAACTAAAAAATGGGGTTACCTGAAGCAAAGGACGCCTTAGTGCTGTACTTTGAAGAACACAACCCAGCATGATCTTGACTCGTGGCGGGAGCGGGCTTACAGACAGCCTGTGCGGCCCCTCTGCCAGCCCCGCTCAGGCCGTCAGCTTCACCAGGGCAGCCCCCACCCCCGGTGGACGGAGCGGACACGCCCTCCGTGTGGGAGGCACTCGCTCCCGCGCTCCAGCTGCTCGCCGCCTCAGGGCAGCTTTCAGTTCACACCGGCATGTCACTCCTTTTCATGATTCAAAAAGCTTCTCTTCGCCTGGTGGGACCCAAAGAAACCCGGCCAGTGGGCCCTCTAGCCCAAACTCCCCTCCCCGTCACCGGAGACGGGAATCCTGCAGGAGGCGCTCAGGCCCCGGGGACGGAAGAGCCCCCAGCCTCTGCTCACGGCCGTCCTCCTCCTCCCTCTCCCTCGCACCGGCGGACTTGCACGGGGCTGCTGAGTCGCACCCCTACCTCCCATCCTTTTTGTTTGCTGTCAATACCCAGGAACCGAGACGCCGTGACATGAGCGCCCACTGGTTCAGATGGGGACTAGGTGTCATTGGGGATGTCTTCCACTGTCCCTATGGACAGAACAGCGACTTTGCTGGAGCTCGGCGGCCTGCTCCAACCGCGGGGCTTCTCTGCTGGGGCGGGGAAAGGGGCGGTTCTGCCCGGCGCCGGCGAGGCGGGTGGGCGGCCCGGCAGCCGGGGCTCAGGAGGGGTGGGCGGCCCGCTCTAGGCTGGATCCCTGGCCCCGCACATCCTGGCTTGAACGTCCCTCCCGGGCCACCCGAGGTAGCCGCCGCCGCCAGTGGCTGTGCCTCACCTGCCCCGCCGGTCGTGCTCACTGAGGGGCCCCGGCTCGCGGCGGCGCGCGGAAGGATTACCCGCCCCTCGCCCGGCCCCGCGGCCCGTGGCGCTCCGCTCCCCGCAGGGCGCCAGGACGGCCGGGCGACAGCCGGCTCCCCGGGGCCTCGCGTCAGTTAGCAGCCCGGACCTCGGGGACGGGGCCGACGGGGGGCGGGGCCGGGCCGCCGCCCCGCCCTTTCCGGCGCGGGCCGGGGCGCACGCGCAGTCGGGCCGTTGGCCGCGCAGGCGCCGTGGCCGGCGGGTGTTTACGGCGGCGGAGGTCGGCGGCCGCAGACGGGCCGCGGACGGGCGAGCGGCGCCCGAGGAGCCGTAGGTCGCGGGCCGGCCGGGCCCGGAGGTAGAGCCGCTGCCGTCGCTGCCCTGGGCCCTTCCCGACGGTCCACCTGTTCCCTCCCTGGTCCGCCCGGCCGGCCCCGGGGTCTCCCCGTCCGCACGGCCCCCTCCCCCCCAGCCCGTCGTCACAGCCTTGGTCGCAGCTGCCCCTAAGTTACGGGGGAAGCGTTCGCAGTTGGGGGTCGGGCAGGTCAGGCGTCTCTGCGGGTTGGAGCCGGAGGCCTCCGCCGGAGGGGCCCAGGGGGGCCAGGTGGCGGGGCGGCCCTCGTCGCTGGTGGCGCCGTCGCCCCCGACCTTCTCGCCGAGGGAGCGGCAGGTGGAAGCGGGCGTCCCGGTGTCATTCTGTCCTTCGGGGATTAGTGCAGTCCGGTCCCCACGGGCCGCCGAGAACTCGTGGCCGAGCCTGGGGAGCCGCACACTCGGTGTGGCCCTGGGAGGCGGGGTCCGGCGGCTGGGACTCGGTCGGCACTCGGTGCCGGGTCCGCCCGCCTCGGGCCCAGGAGCGCGCGCTCGGCAGCCGGCGGCGCTGGGAAGGGAGGGCCGTCGCCGCTGCTTCCGTTCCTCGGGCAGGAGGTGCGGGCGGGCCCTTCCCCGCTCCCGGTCCGCCTGGATGACGTACTCACATTTTTCCTGAGTGATGTTCACGGTGGGACTTGGCCCTCACGTAGGATCGACAAACAGGAGGATGGACGGTGGCCTCACGTTCGCGGCTTCATGCCTGCGCCCCGCGCATCCATCGGGAGAGCCCCTGCCGCGCGGGTTGGGGGAGCTCCCGAGAGGGAGGTGCGTTAGGCCGGGGGCTGGGAAGGACCGTCCAGCGCGGCGCCCGAGAAAGGACAGCGTCCCTCTGACGAGTCGGGTTTGAATGAACGGACGGGAGATCCAGGTTTGGAGGCTTGGTGACTGATCGCATCGGAGTCAGCAATCAGCCGAGATGGTGTCCAGTGGGAAGGGAGCCTTAGGGTCCTGCAAAGTTAATATTCAGACCCTACAGATGGGCACGTGCATCTCACCAGTGGCAGGGGGTAGGGTTACCCCAGAGTTACTTAGTCTGTCATTTTGGACAAAGATTCCCCACATGTTATGTGTTAAAGGATGTTGCCCCTTTGAGAATTGTTAAAAGCTGCATTTGTTGTGGGTAAAAAACAGGCTTTTGACCGGACAGTCTTGGGTTTGAATTCCAAGCCTCTTACAAGTTGTGAAGCCAAAATGAGGTCGTGACTGGCAGGCGGTGCCTGAGAAAAGGTTGAAGCTGTACTTACTAAAAAACTAACTTTTGCGCCATGGCTGGTGGGCTCAATGGTTAGAGTGTCGGCCGCAACACCGAGGGGGTCTCGGCTTCAATACCTGGTCCCTGGCCCTGGTCGGGGTGCACGCCACATTGCTGTTTCTCTTTTTCATCCCCCCCCCCCAAAAAAAAAGCAATGGGGAAAATTTCCTTGGGTGAGGATTAACCAACCAACCAAATAAAAAAGTAGCCTTTGCATATGGAATAAATTCTCAGTGAGGCAAAGTTGGAGATAAGTGATAGTACTTTGTACAAGATAAAACCTACCGATACATAGTCTGTGTTTGCCTGGTGGGGTGGAATGATGGTGTCGACATCATGGGTAGGCTCAGACCCATGGTGGGGTGTGTGTGGTTCTAGGCTTTTACCTAAACCCTGAAGCAGGCACACACAGCTCCACTTAACCAGTGACCCACATTTTAAGATGATTGTCCTAGACTAGGGGTGTAGACTTGAACCTTAAAGCTAAGTGGCTTATCTGAGATTAAATTCGCCCTCATTAGCACAGTATCCCACAAACTGGCCATGGACCCAGCTTCACCGGGGCTCTGAGGCAGCGCGGGGCAGGAAGCGCTGGCCCCAGCGCTGTGTACAGCCTCCTCCTCAGCGCGGAACCCCAGGGAAGGCAGCCGTCCGGCGGCGGCGTGGAAGCGTGTGTGCCGAGCCCCGGCTCTCACACGTTCGTGGTGTCAGGAGATGGCGATCCGTCCGTGTGCCGGTGTGTTTTCTCCCTGGGTGACCCTCTCCCATCACCGCTGCCTTTGTGTGAGCGGAAGCGGGTGTGGAATCCCTCCGCCCAGTCCTCCTCAGGATTCTCTTTCTGTTGAAAGCCAGAGGATAGTGAGGGCAAAGCAAGGGGACATTTTGTAATAACAAAATTATAATATGTTGTTATAGGAGTTGGCCTGATTCGGAAAAAGTTACATGGACGAAGTATAAAATTTGAAAAGATACCTTCTTTAGCTTTTGGAAGAGTAAGACCTCTACAGAGCCTTTTCCCTAGTGATTCGATGAAGGCACATTTGGCTCCTAGTTGAGCCAGAGGGGAACACAGGGTGGTACTGGTATTCTTCTTGTTGTTAGTCCTCACCCAAGGATGTTTTCCCCTTGATTTTTAGAGAGAGTAGAAGAGAGGGAGGGAGAGAGAAACCTCAGTTTGAGAGAGACACATCCATTGGTTGCCTCCCACACATCCCAGCCAGGGCGAGTGATCAAGCCTGCAACGGAAGGTACGTGCTCTCTTGACCAGAATCGAACCCGAACCCTTCAGTCCTCAGGCCAGTGCTCTAACCACTGAGCAGCCGGCCATGCTTTCTTGGTTTTCTTGAAGGCGGGTGGGAAGATGTAGCTTATACTGTGACAGAGCTGAAGGACGCAGAGCTAGACTCAGAGGCCGCAGGGGTTGGAGTAGCAGCTCCTCCTACCTGGAAACTAGATTTTGTGTTTGTTACAATATGTTCTGTTTTCAATTTAACTGTGTACGACAGAACATCCAGATGAGCAGACTGCCTGGATTGCGGGACGGGGCACCTGTGTGTGTGAGGGGTGCAGAGGTGCCTGCTAGCATGTAGGACACCATGCACAGTAGGATTTCAAATGACCAGTAATTTTTAGTACTTGTTGTTTACCTGAATTTCAGTGCCTTTTTTTTTTTTTTTTTTTTTTTGCAAAAAAAGATCTGCAGCACTTGAAATATTCAAGGAACAGTTGCTATTAGAATGAGTTTTTAGACTGTCTGCCCTCCTGTGGTATTACATTCAGTGATTTTGCCATGGGTGGGTGTATCCCTTTAAGGCGGATCTGTATTCAAGATAGAATTAATCCTAAAATTTTGACTTTGTGGATTGTTGATGAAAGTACAGTATGGGATTCACAGTTTAATTAAGGTTTAAAGTTAAATATGTCATAGGTATCTCAAGTGCAAATTAAAAAAATTTAATTCAGTTGATACTATAAGTTATAGACTTCCTTCTGGATGGGTACCACTGAGTTTATTTCCTTCTGAAGCTGGCATCCTTGCTATGGGGCAGGCAGGGGTAGACAAAATATCTTCCATCTGTATTTCAGAATTCAGAATTTGAAATTGGTATGTGTTAGTGCTTTCATTGTTCTGCTCTTACCTTTAATGTAAATGGCTCTTTAAAAATTTTTCATTGCAGTGTTGCCCGAGTGTGATCTCAAAGATGGGAGGTGCGGTGAGTGCTGGTGAGGACAATGATGAGCTGATAGACAATTTGAAGGAAGCACAGTACATCCGGACCGAACTGGTGGAGCAGGCTTTCAGAGCGATTGACCGCGCAGATTATTATCTTGAAGAGTTTAAAGAAAATGCTTATAAAGACTTGGCATGGAAGCACGGAAACATCCACCTGTCAGCTCCGTGCATCTACTCAGAGGTGATGGAAGCCCTGGACCTGCAGCCGGGGCTCTCGTTCCTGAACCTGGGCAGTGGCACCGGCTACCTCAGCTCCATGGTGGGGCTCATTTTAGGTAATCGGGGGAGTTTGCAGGACCAAAGAGCTGCTGGCAGTGTCCTTTGAAGGGGTCTAATTGCCCTTGGCCTTCCCAGTGTTATCTGGTATCATTTACCAGTAGTCGCTGGTGGGCTGGCTCCCGGTCCCTGTCCCCTGCCACGTGTGCCTCCAGCAGGTGTCAGCACACCCTCCTCCCCAGCAGTGGAGCCCCTGGACAGTGGCGTCAGTCTGGATCTTCCCTGATTTCCTGACTCGACCTCACCCAGCATGCCCTGCCACTTGCTCTAAACAGAGTAATTAACTTCAAAGTCCCCTGGGATTCAAAGTTCTCTCAAACGGTTTTGTTTGTTTTGTGATTTGAACACTGGAAGAATTAATGCCTGTAATGTTATTTTTAGATAAATTCCAGGATGAGAGGGATTTCACAAGTTAACTTACTTGAAGCCATTTAGTAACATATCCGATAACTGAGGATTCATTTAATTCCTATCTTGTGTAAAATGAGGGGGGGGGGGTAGGGCAGGGGAAGGCATCTTAACAACTATCATGGCCTGAAGCTTTTCTGGAAAAATAAAATGTATCAATGCAGAGCAGGGAGCAGGTCCTGGGCAGCCTCACAAGATGGAGGAGGCCACTCTGTCCCGTCCGGAGGTTGACAGTGACTCTGGAGAAGAAAGATGTCAGTTGTGAGAGAATCCACATGGGGTGTCGGGAGGAGGAAAGGAGAGCGTGCAGTGTGGAGCCTGGAGAATTGGCACATGTGCCTCCACTTCCTTGCAAGCACACCCAGAGGCGCCCACAGGACCCACACCCTCCAGAGAGGAGCACTGTGCCCTCCATCAGCACAGATGGTGCTGCCTGTTTCTGACCTGCATAGAAACAGATTCCCACACAGACTCACCTTAGCTGTTTGTGTCGATCGTTGTCACCCAGATGTCACCTGGAAGAAGGTTCCCATGCAGGGAGCACTGACAGCAGGAACAGCGTGATGTCTGTCACGGTTCCCTCTGATAGAATGTTTCACTGTGACTTGGAATGGCAGTTTCTTCAATGATGATTACAACCTGTTTTGTGAGGATTATTAGTGCCCACCTCTGAGTGTCTGGTGGGACCTTCTGTGGAAAACAGCCCTATATCGATGTGCAGACACGTTTCTTCAGTTATTGGCAAGACCTTGAACTATTGGTTTCAGACCTTGGCTTTTTTATATTTTCAAATAATTCTTTGGAAGTTGGAGAGCAGCGAGGGTCAGGCTTTGGAAAGCTATGGAGTCAGTAACCACAAGTGTGTGTGATGTGAGCAGAGCCTGCCTTGCATGTAAAGATTAGCTCGAGGTGATGTGTTAAGTTAGAAAACCTTGTGAATTTCTGTAATTGCTCACACAAAGTCAGGAGAAATGCAGAGTAAGAGTTGTCGCTCCAGTTCTGAAAGTTTTCTGGCTCTGAACCCTTGCAGGTCCTTTTGGGGTAAACCATGGTGTGGAGCTTCATCCAGACGTGATTGAGTACGCAAAGCAGAAACTAGACTTCTTCATCAGGACCAGCGACAGCTTTGACAAGTAAGGTCAAGTCCTGTCCCTCGGTCAGGGTCTGGGTTGTAAGGTAAACTTGATGAGACTGGGGGAAGTCCATCCGCAGCGTCCTTGGACCAGCAGGCATGGCTGTGGTGTGGCAGGGGACCAGGATGTGTGGTCTAATTGTTTAAAAGTATATTGGGGCCCCAGCTGGAGTGGCTCAGTTGATTGGGCTGTCCTGTGCACTACAGGGTTGCTGGTTCGATTCCTAGTCAGGGCACAGGTGCTGGGGTTGTGGGCTCCATCCCTGGTGGAGGGCGTGCAGGAAGCAGCCGATGGACGTTCCACTCTCACATTGATGTTTCTCTCTCTTCCTTCCTCTCCCTCTCAAAAAAAAAATCTTGCCGAAACCGGTTTGGCTCAGTGGATAGAGCGTCGGCCTGCGGACTGAAAGGTCCCAGGTTCGATTCCGGTCAAGGGCATGTACCTGGGTTGCTCTAAACAGAGTAATTAACTTCAAAGTCCCCTGGGATTCAAAGTTCTCTCAAACGGTTTTGTTTGTTTGAGAGACAAGGGCAGTTTCTTGTTTGTACCTGTTTCTAGTTTGATGTCCTTTTTACAGACAAGGGCAGTGCAGCTGGTCGATGTTTCTCTCTCATCGATGTTTCTAACTCTCTATCTCTCTCCTTTCCTCTCTGTAAAAACTCAATAAAATATATTTAAAAAAAAATCTTAATATATCTCTCTCTCTCTCTCTCTCACCCTGGCCGGGTAGCTCAGTTGGTAGTTGGTTAGAGCATCTTCC